CACCACTTCCACTGATGCCTTTGTTTTTCCACCCCGAACAATAGCACCAGCTGGAGCCAACGTAGGAGAAGATTACGTCCCAGAGACTTTCAGCATTAATCCAGAGGATTGTACGGCTAGGCCACCTTAGTCGACGAGGGATGAAGACATGATTGGCCGGCTGTGTTATTGGCTGAATGTATGGTCATCTATTGGAAAGAAAATCAGCGAGAAAGGTCCGGAAAAATTAATATAAGCACCACTAGGTGGACACTTCCTAAACGGGTCTTAGCTGGTTACTCCCCTGTTGTGGAGAGCACCAAAAAGTGCGTGCTGAGTAGCTTTTAATTACAACAATGTTACCAATATTAGCCAGTATCAATAATATGCGGAAAATGGGCTAAGTAAAAGTCGCAACGATATTTCAAGACGTGCTATCTAGTTCTATCTATGACATACTATAATAAATGCAGAAAAAATACGACTCCAGGGATTACAGATTGTGGTATCAAGGAAAGCAAATTTCCCGCCATTCACACAGGCTTCTGTACTCTTCTGAAAAAAAAATGAACTGAAATAGTTCGAAGCAAAGCTAAAGGCATGCAGTTTTACTACGGGTTTGACAACAGGGAAAGTCAGAAGAACTAGATGCAGTGAAAAAAAAGCCATAGAGCAAATGTGGGTGGATTAAAGACAAAGGCATACTTTGGTTTGTTGACGTGGGCAAATGTGATCGACAGTCCCATGGATTCCTTCTTGTACCGGTAGAATAACATCTGTAAATGTCCAAAAAAGATCTATCCTCACTGGGCATTTTATTGTTTTATTTTATTTTCACATCAAGTATCGTTATAGAATAGGATTGATTTCAGTCTCTACGTGACCCTCAATTAACAGCCAGCCGAGGGAGTGAGAATTACGGTCGCAGAATCAACACCTAACGTTCCTCACAGGGAACGTCTTTTTTCGACGCAACTCCAGTACCGCACTTTGTTTGTCTAGATTCGACGGGTCAAGTAGATCATTGCAATTCCAAGAAGCACTAACGTCTTTTGATATGACTTTGGTGCTGAGCGGGTTTTTAGAACTGGACAGTTTCCTTCGGACATTTTCACGGCTATGCAGCGCTAGCGACAGCAGTTCCAGTTGATCTTTATCCGCCCACGGTTAGTTTTTTAACCAGTCGAATAGTTTTACCGGACATCTGCTCTTTGCGGACAAACATACTGCGACCTGGAGATGTGTACGAGGTACTTTAAAGTACCGGCCTTACGTCAAGCGAAAATGTTAGATCCCATATTAATCTGAATCCATGCGACGGGTGTGGCCAAACAACAGAGGCCATGTCGAAAATAAAACACTTGAAACAGTTACCAATACAGTTTTGTGGAAGTGATGTCACGTAACGTGTGGTGTTGGCCGCAGTCAAGTCTGCGCAAGATCCTGGTCCAATCTGTTCTCGCCATCAGTACCAGCTAGCTACGTTAAGCAGGAGTCCAGCACTGAGGTGCCATCTACTGTGAGTCAGATAAGTGGTTAGGTTGGCTGTCTTCCTTGGCATCGTCTAAGCAAAAGCTGGTTAAATGTTCGCTGTAGATGTGGTAAAAAGTTGTTCTTGATGACATAGGGGTTCAAGGCAGTTGTTTCTCGCATTGTAGTCGCTAAGAGTTCGACCCGCGGACACCTTAGAATTCGCTGCACTGTAATTCCGATTCCCCATAAGGACATGTATACCACATCGTAGAAAGCCCACAACTTGTCTTAAGAATCCCCATATCCATATTTGCTAGTGAAGTATATCCGACAAGGTCGCGATGTCGACTATGCCATCACGAAATCTTACAATTGTGATCCACGGTGTCTTTTCTGCCTAACGCGCTACTGCTTTGGACCGATTGTCCAGCACGGTCGTACAACCATATTGGCCACAGTTCCTGAATAGACACACTTGTAGAAGAGGTCCTTAACTTTATTCCTATGCATCCCCGTGATAATAACACCTTAATGAGACTGGTAACGCTAAAATTCTGTGCATAGTCAGGCTCTGCATTCCCAATGCAACAGGCATTCCTGAATGCCAGCAGAAACTTTACGATTCTCTCTTCTGTCATATAGTCCAAAATTAAAATTTCATAAATACCCCTTGCCGGGAGTCCACTAACGAGGAATATATGGGCATTTTGCATGAGCTGAGAGTCATAATGGAGGTACTTGCGCAGTTGGAAGGCCTCTGGCTTTTGATGCACCTCGGTTCCCTATCCTTCGAAGTGTCATTTGGGTGGCTATCAGAGGTGCAAGGTAACGGCAACAACAACTTATCTCATGTCCGTTAATGGCCATCACTAGACTCTGCAGATTTATATAGGACTACGGACTTGCCAGAACGTAACCCACGGCATCTTGGTGCAATGGTCATTTATAGGTAGTAAATACCTGTTCGTGAGATTCAGGGATCTACGTGGTAACTAGTTTTCTCTAAGGCGTGCTACTTGAGGCCTGCCTGACATATATGCAATCACCGCGGTCTTCACGGGCTTCCCCTCTTCCCAGACAAGGCACATAATTATGTTTACTTCTACCACAATCAACAATGAAGTTAGCAAAATAGGTTCTGAGAATCTTTCAGATGAACTGCATAACGTGTAACGGCTGTGACGGCGAAGAAGACAAAAATGGTCATGTTAGTTTCCTTTGTTTTGGTGATATTCTGTCTGCAGTATGCCTTTTGAATCCTGCACCATACTTCAAATTTTCGATCTCGTCTTTATAAAAATCGACATCAAAATACCCACTTACGACAACCGAAGACAGTTATTTTGATTATTCTATTTTTCGCAAGTTTTAGATGCAATAAAGAACGGCAGACGGCATTACTATTAGGATCAACGGCTTCTCGTGCATTCATGTCCGTAGACTAACAAAGCGATAGAGAGAATGGCAGCTGGCCGTTACTCACACGCATAAGCAGTGCCCAACTCCCCTTCAGTCCATTAATTGGCGGTTTGAAGGAGGAATATGGACTTCGGAACCAGTGACACAGGGTTTAGTGAACTCGGCCGCCCCTCTGAGAAAACGTTAGCTGTCTTTTGGCTCTGTCGAAGAAGAAAAGGAAGTTTTGAATTTGTGGAGAATAAAATACTGCTGTCAGCAATAGTTCCAAACTGATTCTTTTGGGAAGTGTAGCAAAACACATGTTAGTCGTGTTCTGTCCCTTAATGTCTTGCCAATCCTACGTACATTACGTTAATTTTCTGGGATTGATAGTTCAACTGACTTCGAACAACCGAATGTTTTAAGTACACACGAAACTGAGACTACATTACACAGACAGTCATCCCTGCCGGTGGTCTTTTGTTCGGGTTTTTCAGTCCCAGCAGACGCTCTTTGTAATTTTGACATGCCATACTGCACTTTTTGTCAGTTTTCTTTCCGGTGATTACATCTGATTAGATGTGTGTTCGAAGGTAGAGGAGTGCAATGTAAAAACATGCGAGTCGCGGAAATAGGAATCTCTCCTTCCCCATAATACAGGAGCCATAGGCTTCATTCCAGGAAGGTTACCTATTCCCGTGTGCTGGCCCTAAACGCAACATCGACCATAGCCAAAACCTTAACCTCGACCCTAAACTCAACCCTTATCCTTAACTGAACTCTGACCTTAAGCACCCCTGAAATTTACCGCTAGAATACCTGTATTCCAGGGGAATTCTTATTTCCGTGTCCTACCTAAAAATGCTTCATATCTAAGATTTCACACCTTCTTACAACACAATTTCATTTTAAAAACCTGATGTTAATTATGATTGAACGGATTTACATACATTTTAGCCGAAGGGAAGACACAGACCTTTCATTTTGGCTTACTTCTCCTGCTGTACAGTTAACTTCCTCGGCTCAAGAAGCCTAAATTCTTAGCACTCGGAACTACAGTTGTAAATTCAAGCGCACACGGTACCCACTAGTGGGAGATCAGTAAAGTAAACTACCAGAAAATAGATCTATGGTGGAGATATGCACTAATGAACACGCCCGTGATGATATATACATCGGATTGGGAAAAATCCTTCGATCTTGACGGAAGGACCATTGCATTCCATCATGGACAACCGTTCTGTACATGTGTCACCGGAGGTCAGACCTTCTTCCGCATGGTCCGGTCGGTGCTAGATTGGCTAAGTTTCCAGCTAAAACCAGGTCGCCATGTTAACCAGTATCGAACAGGGACGGGGGCCACTCAACCTCCCCCTCCTCTAAAACAAAACCACCGACGAGAATGAGGATGTTACCTGCAAATCGTACCACACGTCTTCACTTTGATCTTTGCTAATACGTCTCCTTGGCGGTCGGCTGTGCATTACCCTTTAGGTATGGAAGTTCATGATCTCCTGAAACGTCGTGCGAATTTTTTTACCGTATTTGGACCATTAGAAGAGGACGCATACTGTCCTCTGTCATTTGATATACAACTCCCCAAGGAGTGGACAAAATTGCATGGTCCAATGAATTTCCTTGAAAACTTCAAACACCTCATGATGGTACAATACAGGTAAATAAGGCATAGTTTTTGGAAAGGTAAGAAATATTAGGCGCCGCCTGCCTTACTTGACTCCAAAACAATACATGCTTTTTTACACATTGTATGCGTTTAAAGTAAAAATATTGCCACTAGTTTTTCATCTAAAGTAAAAGTAAAAACTCATCTCAGGTTTTGGACATTGGATGGCTATTTAATCGGAAACGGACGTCAGTTATTTTAAACCGTGAAAATATTCAGAGAAGATAGTCAGTCGATAACCTCACCCTAGTGTTCCCAACTAACGCACATACTCTTTATGCTTGCTGCGGGGGCAAGGGGCCAGAAGACTTGAAGATTTACCACCTCGTATTGAGAAAAATGAATCCCCTAGGCGACCTGTTGATCAGTATTAAACAGTTCAGTTGTTTTTCATTTTTGAGCTTAATCTCATCCGGGATTTTCCTTACTGAAAAATGAATGCACCGGTTGTGACAGTCCTTGCCTTATGACACCAGTTCTGACATCCCAATACTTGGTTTCGTCAGATGATGATGATGATGATGATGATGATGATGATGATGATGATGATGATGATGATGATGATGATGATGATGATGATGATGATGATGATGATGATGATGATGATGATGATGATGATGATGATGATGATGATGATGATGATGATGATGATGCGTATAGGAGAAACTGCGAACGTAAATGCCACCAGAAGTTGGCAGTTCAAATGTACGAAAATTACGTAAATAGGCTTAGAGTGTTCTTGAACCTGGGCAATGTAGTTGGACTTATCACACTATGGATAAACTAGTCGGTGAAATGAACGATTTCATAAATAGAGTAATGGTCGAGAGTTTACTGTGTAGCGCAGTTAAGAAGAAAGAACACCGCATTCCAAATTTGTCCACTGTCATAGTCTGTGCTGAGCGGATACAAACATTAAAACACGTCTTATAAAAAGATAAAAGGGCCATTGCATGGGTGGTTATTTTGAGAGTAGATAAATTACTGAAAAAGTGAATGGGAGGAGGCAGGAAGTAAGGAGACTCGGTTGATGGAACAAGAATTAGACTTATTAGCCGCTTCGAATTGAATCCGTCATCAGAGACTCCGGAAGATCAAGGGTGTGGCCTCGTAAAAGGTTCAGTACTTCTGAGGTACAATGACTACGCAACCATGCGCACACTAAAACTAAAAGCTCTCATTGCCATTGCAAGGATTATATTTGATACGATGATGACCTCATCAGCAGCATGGGAGCCGTTGACTGCCGATATGTAATCACTGGTAGTAGTTAGTAATGCGATGATCGCTCGCTGACTGTTACCATAAATATTACCACTGGAAGCGGGTCTCATTCTCGCACTCTCCGCGCACCTAATTACTCTGAATGAGGAAGGAGCGAACACTGCGCGTGTATGTAGACTGGATTTCCATACGCGGGATCAATTCAGATCGCGACTAGCGGGTATTCCTACCGCATGACGTAATTTACGGAATATTATTTAGGCATTTTCAACGAACTGTAAGTCCTCTGCTAGTAAGGTGAAGGAACACAAATTTTTGAGGTAGATCGTATGACAAAAAACCTTAAGAGATTCCCAATAAACGCTAGATGCATGAGTCAGTGTATCCCGTCAAAAGGAGCATTGCAACTTCTGCTGTCCTTGTGTTCTCCATCACCTACGATTATTCACCGCGTTGCGCAACGAAACCGGCTTACAATTTTGAAGTGTGCTTTCAAAAGCCACATATTCGTTCCCCTAAGAAAACATATATCGGAAGACCGGAATCCACACAATACTCACTAAGACGCGACAAAATGAAGGCTTTGGCAAGACGTTGCGCGGCTGATAAAAAATGGGCATTGAAAATGACGGAATTGAAGACGTGTAAAAACCGTCAAAAGGTGCAAACGGCTGCGCTGTAAAAACAAAAGCTTTCTTGGTTAAGACCAGACTTGCCATGGTAACGCGTTCTGAACGATGATTTTGGACCGTTTTGAGACCGATGCTCTTGGGATCCGGAGGTAGCCTATTCAAACCTCACTAAGACCATTCCCGCGGGGGTGTACAGTAAGGATCATCCAGGAAAAGTAAACTGCGGACCATCCTTGTCATTCTGGCATTCTTCGGAAACATTGCATTCCATGGCAACACTGTATTCACAAGTGTCGAATTTGGAAAACATATGGAACAAAACAGCGCTAGCGGCCCGAACACGATATAAAATCAAAAAGCATATAACAGCTCCACCGAACAACCGGCACGACCCATTAAAGGTCAATTGCTAAAGCGAACGCAGATACCTATTAACAAAACTGAACCGCTTGCTTCTCGGTCGTAAGATTACACTAAATGAATTAGGTTTAAGCCCACGACAGTCGGTCAGGCTCTTGTAACTCAGGCAGTTAGAGCGGTAGCTGCACTCGAGCCTTGCCCTTACTGTCATAGGCTCTAATGCCAGCGAGACCGATGAATTTTGCATAAATGGGTCTGATGGATTGTTTGAATCTATCCAAAACATATACTAATGCGTAATGGAAGTAATTGTGAAAACAATGGAGAATTGGATGACCGTCTCTGGCCTATTGGCTGTCCTCAACTAGCCCAAGGCATGCTCAGGTCTTGTCGCACATGATCCCCAACCCGCATTCTTTGGTCATCGAGCTTTACCATTGAGTCACGGGATCGCTGCCCTGTGGGCTGAGAACAGAATATTAAATATTATGTTGGAATTACGGTCACACATCGGGTTACTGGGGTTGCTCATCCCGCTGTGCCCCGGCGCTTGATCTGGAGCGCTCGCAGACCGTCGCATTGAAGCCAGAAATATTTGCTGAAGCGAAGTATTGGCAGGTAGAGATGAGATCTTGGTAGCCATTTCTGGTTATTTAACCTTCGCCAGCCAGCCTTAAACAAGTGCGGGCTTTGCAGGACCAACATAGTACATCTATCCGATTGGAACCGACAGGGCAACGGACTCGCGGCGGTGTGACAAAACGTTGTCTTAATAACATTCCATGACCAAAGAAGGCAGGCTCAAATACCAGATCGTTCAATGTTTGTATACGCGTAAACCTGACTGATTCATCATACTTACTGGGATTGCACGATTCTCAGTAATTTCGCCAATACCTTGCCTCCTAACCAATCACATTTTCATCAATAGTAGTGAAAATGCGATTCCCAGGTGGCATATCAAAAGAAGAAGGGACGTTCACCGGGAGGGGTTTATTCGAGGTCCGACGTTTCGAGTAGTTTATTCGTCTACCGATCTTCAGGGACGGGGAAGTCCTGTGCACAGCTCCCCTTATGTCCCCTTTGTCCAACGCGTGACCCGCCAATGCCGCCTGTGTGGCTGCATCCAACCCGCATGTCACCGTGACCTGAATCGTCCCCGTCGGCCGCGGAGATAACTGACGGCCCCGACTGTCCCGCACCGTGACTGTCCACCGCTAAGAAGGTTCGTAAAGTCAGATAGGGGGAGGCAAATTGATGTGGCGGTTGACAGAGCGATCGGTGGACATCCAGGCTTCTTGCACTTGCCTTGCTGTGTGATCGCCGCCCCGGCCCACAACCTCAACAGCGTCAAAGTTGAAGCTGTGTCCCATTTTCGCGGCATGGTTTGCTACCTCCAATTTCGGGTCCAACCTTCACACGGCCAACTTATGCTCGTGCATTCGCGTTTGCAGCCGTTGGCCGGTTTCCCCAACGTAGTTGCAACTTCCGCAGCTGCACTGAAGTCGGTAGACAACGGCCGACATCTCCTGCTTAAGGATCGGATCTTTTGGCCGCATCACTTGCCGGCGGATTGTTGAGTCAGGGCTGTGGGCAACACCTATTCCGAGTGGCGCGATTGATCGAGCCACGGCTTCGGAGACCCCTTTAATGTACGGAATGCTCCGCCACGAATTTGACTGACTATGCTCTTCGTTCCGCTTCTTTGGCTGCCTTCGGCCCCGTTCAATGAATGCCCGCGGATAGCCATTGGCTCTGGAGAGTTCTCTGAGGCGCTTTATCTCGTCCAGTTTGACGGCTGGCGTGCTGCAATGAGTTTCCACCCGTCGGTACAGCGCGCGGACACAGCTTCGTTTGTGTTGTAGCGGGTGGTTGCTGTTGTAGCTGAGCATTTGCAGCGTGTTCGTCGGTTTTCTGTAGACCGACGTCGCTAGTTCGCCATTTGGTTAGCGGCAGACGAGAACATCCAAGAATGGAAGTTTGTCCCCTACTTCTTCTTCCCTCGTGAACTTTAGATCGGCAATGATTGAGTTCAGTACTTCCGCATAGTAGTTGATTTTATCCTGGGCGATGATTACAAAGGTGTCATCAACGTAGCGTGACCAAAACTTGGGTGTGTACTCCTTGAATAGTCGTCTCTCGAGTTTTTGTAGAACCACCTCGGTAATGAGTCCGGAGATTGGTGAACCCATTGGAGTGCCCTTGATCTGCTCGTATGTGGTCCCTTCGAAGGTAAAGAATGTCTTGAGGCAGTGCCCCATGAGTTCTATGAGATCCTGAGCTGTGGGCTGGCCATGGCCCCCGTCGTAATTTTGACGTAGCAGGTCACTGAGCGTTTCGACCGCAACGGCCTGTAGTATGGATGTGAAGAGTGAAACGACGTCAAAAGACACCATCCTTTCATTCGGTTCGATCGTGACTGCCCTTATTTTGTCAAGGAATTGTTCTGCTGAGTGCACCGTTGTTTGTGAGCCTGCAGTTAGGAATCTTAGCTTCTGAAATAGCCAGCTTGCAAGCCCGTATGTGGGTGTGCCTCAGAGTGAGACGATAGGACGGAGGGGAACATCTGGCTTGTGTACTTTTGGGAGAGCGTAGAATCTCGCCATAGCGGTTTCTGTGGGCTTTGCCGTATACCAGTCTTTGACGGTGATGACCTTGTCCTTTTTTAGTCAAGCCAGAATTCTCTTAACCTTTGCCACTAGGGACTTTAGACTGGCGGCGTCGCTGACTTTATAGGACTCCCGATCGTTGAGGAGCAGGAGGGCTTTGTGTCGGTAGTCTACCTTGTCGAGGATAACGGTTGACCGGCCTTTGTCAGCAGGCAGAATAACTATTTCGGTGTCCGCTTTCAGCTCTCTTAGGGCCTTTTATTCCTTTCTTAGAAGGGTATGGGTTTTCCGGTGCGACATGAGAAGTGAGGAGACTTGATGTCGAAGGAGGTCCTTCGCCTCGTCTGTGGAGTCGGTTTGACGAAGCACTGATTCGAAAGAAGCAATGAAGGTGACCGGGTCGGCGTCAGTTGTGTTAAAACCAGATCCACGTTGTAGAAATTTTGTTTGGGTCACAGTAACTTGTTTTGACGAGAAGTTATGTACTGTCGTTTGTTCGGTTTCCTGGGCTTGTGCGGTCTGCAGTGCCATGAACTTTACCGATAAACCCGCATCTCTGTTAGCACGTTTCTTTCGTCCCAATACTAGTAATGAGGTCTCCAATGTGGCGGCAGTCGATTTACCACACCGGCGTGTAACAAGCATCCGTAAGTTTTCAGCACTGTGTGCGTATTTCTTTAGTCACAGGTGACAATCTTGTATGAGTACCCTTGTCCTTCGCCGACTATAGCGGAACATCGTTTGTTTAACCAATTGCGTGTTTACTGTAGGCTTGTAGGAGAGGCATTTTGGCAAAGCATAGTTGGCAAGGCATCTGTGAAGGAAATGGAGCCGTGCATAGCTCCGACAGTCCTCGACCTATGCACAGCTCCATTTCCTTCACAGATGCCTTGCCAACTAGGTTTTGCCAATAGTAAGTGCGGGGTTCCTAATACCACATCTACATGCTTTGTTGCCTCGACGTGTGAAGAGTAGTTTAACAATGGACAACTTAACTGAATGGGTGAGGGTCGTGTAGTAAGCAAGCTGAGAAAGAAGGAACTGGGACATGGAGTTCATTCTCCGGGCGTTTCGGATTGTAGTCAAATCTGTTATGAAAGGCGCGCATACGCACATGGAATGAGTCTTAATGTGTTGCAGATGGTAGGGACGACAGAGAATTCAGGTAGATTGATAACGTACTGTTTTGGGTTTATTCACCCAATAGATCAATGTGTCCTCATTCTTAGTGTGCATTCGTATGACTTGCTTCGGCAAGCTTTTTCGGTCACGTCAAGCACGGCTATGGCTGGGCGTAAATTCACGGTACCGCAGTGATGAATTAAGAGTGGTTGTTTACTAGAATTAGTTCTTTGAACTCTGCAGAATCCGCTTCCCTCAAGTACCACAAGATTCTCCAAGGACCGCACTCTTCTTCAAGGACCGCAGGACATTTGTGTGGTGCAAATTCACTAACGTGACACGTGGGCAGAGGAACGGTGCACCGTAGTGTGCAACTCTAGGTCTGGGTCAGAAGACTTCTAAATCTGTGTAATAAAAGAGCCTGGCCTCGAGTGATTTCAGCTGCTGACGTTCAAATCTGCCTCGCGTAGAGTTTTCCCGGATATCTGACTTGCATTTCTAAAGAAAGAGGAGGAGGACGAGGACGAGGAGGAGGAGGAGGAGGAGGAGGAGGAGGATTAGTGAATCCCGTCAGACAAAATGTGATTGAAAGAAGAAGGGGCGTTCACCGGGAGGGGTTTATTCGAGGTCCAACGTCTCGAGACAATGCATTGACTGCACTAGTGCACCAGTGACCGTGAGGTCATCTGCCGCGGCAGGATGGTGCGGGATGGGCCTAGACCCAACGGACGAGTTCGCGATCACTCTACCTGGCATGCATCCAAGATTGGGACTACTGTCACGTGAGGTTGTCACCATCCGTTGCTTGCTGCAGCGTAATTGACCTCACGTTTTCAAAGACTGTGGCCACCGCCCCACTGTGACTGCTTTCCTTCACAATGCGCCCCTATCGTCGCCCGATACGAGTGGGTTGATTTTACTGAACATGTACCGCTTGATATTTAACTGAGGCCGCACGGGGATTGTTTGATCACACCCATGTCCTATAACTAAAGTACAGTACTGGGGTACGATAACGGCATAAGCACGAGCTTGTACTAAACCGAAAATCCCCACGAAATCCAAATGAATGTTGATGGGCAAAGATGAGGCACATAACTGTGTCGAGAACGCCAAATCCCAAAAAAGTTAACAGTGACAAGGATTCGAATTGGTAGTACTGACTTCCTTCATGTCTCTGCGTCAATGATGACAGCCAACTGTACAGTGACTGCAGGATGCAATGGTCGCGAAACGAGAATCAGTTTAAATTTCAATAACTCGTAGTAGATATGCAGTCCAAATTGGAAGGACACGCTGGACTACGGATGGGCGTTTTCTTTACACAACAGAATTATTACGAAATTGTAGTGCACCATAAATGGGTGGCCTTAACTCACAGGACCCATCTACTGCTGACAGAATGTGAATATTACGTGATTGTACGGCTAAAATTGATGGTTCCAATATGGCATATTTAGGTCATCCTTTGCACAGGGTCCGAAGATTTTCGTGTCGGAAAATTTACTTCAGGATCACACATTACTTCCAGAGGAAAGTAAAACGCTCAACGTTCAATCTGCTGCGTATATCAAAAAGCACACGCGGATCGCTACGCGACCCACCGATGAGATGACACAGAATAGACGAATCATGCGTCCTTGGTTTTATGTAATGACCGTGCTAATATGGTAATTTGATGATTTACAGTCGTCGTAGTCGCTTTTTTGGTAAACTTAAACTTCACTCACAAACCTTACTTAAATTCAAAACCGGTAAATAAGCGCAAGGAATGCCCTTGCATTGATTGAACTGTTCACTTTCACATGTAACTGGCTCATAAAACTGTACGAACATCGGACGTCGGAAAGGCCTGCGCGACAGTCATAGTCATTTACTGAGCAGAATGTGTTCTGAATTTACTCTGATACTTCCAAACTATCCGCACCTGCCTACGTACAGCTATGCCCTGTTGTGTCTATCATCCGGTGCCACCTAGCAGAGCGATTTTATGTTCTGTTGGGGAGGTGACGAAGAGAAGGATAAACAAGGTCAGACCGCCGTGATCTCGTTCTAACCTATGCGACTTCCGGGAAGGATGACACAAGTAAAAGACACGATGGGTCATATAAACCTTTTCGGACCCTTAAATGTTCTAGAGGTCACGTACTCTGCCGAGGATATTGTAGGATGCGTCTCTCCTGGGCTGTTCTCGGTCTATTCAGCTGTATACTGGCTGCGAAAACTCAGAATCCTGAACTGTCCGCCAAGATGAAGGCCTTCAAACAATGTTTGGTTACTTGTTCCGACGC